CTAGTGGCGTGGCCTGGCTTGAGTGCTGTCCAGAGCCTCGCCCTTGGCCCCTGCACGGCCAGGCTTAACAGTGGCCAGCACCTCAGGGCCACCAGAGGCCCGGGGCCACGTGGCCTGGCTTGGCTTCCAGTGGCCCAGAGCTCCTGCTGGGCTCCTGCCCCGCTCTGTGGCCGCTCCTGGCTTTAGTGGGTTACGTGGGGGACACGGGTGGCTTCCACCCAGTGTGAGTGGTGCACATGGCTTAACACGCAGCTGCCTAGCTGTGTATGGGCTGCATGTGTGTGTACATGTCCATACGTGTGTGCATACATGCATGTGTGCACGCAGTGTGCATGTGTGCTGAGGTACATGCACGCACACGTGTGCATTGTGTGCATGTATGCACATTCATGCATATATATGTGTGCACGCAGGGGTGCATGGGTGTGAACCGCCTCCCACCCCATCCGTGTACCCATATTGCCTCTGCAGAGCTCCATGGGGGTCCTTGGCCAGCCAGGGCTGTGGTTGTCATTTTTGCCTTCCTTACGAAACCCAAAACAGGCTGGGCGCAGTGGCTCCCAGCACTTTGGGAGGCCGAGGCGAGTGGATCACCTGAGGTCACGAATTTGAGACCAGCCTGACCAACATGGAGAAACACCACCTCTACTAAAAATACAAAATCAGCCGGGTCTGGTGGCGCATGCCTGTAGTCCCAGCGACTCGGGAGGCTGAGGCAGGAGAATCGCTTGAATCCAGGAGGCGGAGGTTGTGGTGAGCCGAGATTATGCTGCTGCACTCCAGCCTGGGCAAAAAGAGCGAAACTCTATCTGCAAAAACAAAACAAAACCCCAAACAGTAGTACTGAGTCAGTTCTCATCTGGGCAGCGACCTCTGGCATTTCAGACTCCTCCTCGGCCGTCTTGGTCTTCCCGGCATCCTCACTGAGAGCTGAGGCTTGCTTTTCTGTTTCATAGTTGAAGTGTTTATGGCCTGAGGGACCTTGTGTGTTGGGTGCAAAGTTACCAAGGGGTGGCGCCTTCTGACAGGAGTGCAGGGCCCTCCTTGCCCCCTGTGCTGTGTGGGGCCTGTGCCGGGGTGCGGGCTTGAGGGTGTGCCGGCCTTGCGTCGGTGTGGCCTTCAGTGTGTGTGAGTGTTTGCTGTTTCCAGGTGCAGCACCCTCCCAAACCAACCCACGGAACAGCCATGTTTTGTAACAGAGTTTTCTTTTTTTTTTTTTGAGACGGAGTCTGGCTCTGTCGCCCGGGCTGGAGTGCAGTGGCCGGATCTCAGCTCACTGCAAGCTCTGCCCCCCGGGTTTATGCCATTCTCCTGCCTCAGCCTCCCGAGTAGCTGGGACTACAGGCGCCCGCCGCCTCGCCCGGCTAGTTTTTTGTATTTTTTAGTAGAGATGGGGTTTCACCATGTTCGCCAGGATGGTCTCGATCTCCTGACCTTGTGATCCGCCCGTCTCGGCCTCCCAAAGTGCTGGGATTACAGGCTTGAGCCACCGCGCCCGGCCTGTAACAGAGTTTTCTTAAACAGAGTCTCATCTGGGGGCAGTCTTGACCCACGGGACACTGGCCGTGTCTGGGGACATCTATGGTTGTCACAGTTCGGGGGGTGCTCCTGAGATGGAGTGGGCGGGGGCCAGGGATGCTGCTGAGCACCCCTCGGGGCCCAGCGTTCACACCCGTCAGTAGAGCTGAGGCCGCTCAGATCACATCCCCTCCATGCCACCACCCTTCCCTTCAGGGCGCGGTGAGGGAAGGGCGTGTGGGGGTCCCTCTGGGGAGAAGGTGGTCTCACCTGCACACCCACTCTCACCCCTCGTGTCCCGGAACTTGGGTGGGTTTGACCTTTTGTGGATGAGGTGAGGGCTGGGAGGCGGATCACTGCCTGAGACAGAATCAAAGTCCATTTTCTTTCTTCCGAAAAGGACGCAGCATGGTTGAGAAAAGGACTGGGAGGAGGCAGCTGCCGCTGGGGCTCCCCACTCGGGATGTGTTGGGTGTTCTGTGAGACCCCCCCAGGGAACACAGGTGCTGTGAGCAGTTCCTGGGCTTTGTCGAGGGCCTCCCGAAGGCAGCTGTGGCCACTGTGGGACCCACGCAGCCTGTCTCGCCTCCAGGAGCTGCCAGGCGAGGGGGCTTGCGACAGGCACCTGCACAACGATGTCCACTGTGGGCAGCAAGGAAGGTTCCAGAAAGCACAGGAGGGAGACTTGTGTTGGGGCCTCGGGGGATTTGTGGAGCAGAGGCTGTGAGAGGAAGTGAGCTGGGTCCCAGCACCAGGCAGCCTTCAGGCAGCCGTGATTGGGACAGCACTGTGGGCAGAGGGCACAGCGTGCGACGTGTGTGGAAGTGGGGAGGTGCCAGAAGATTCAGAGACACAGGGTGGTGAAGGTGAGCCTGGAGAGGTGGGCTAGGGGCATGCAGGGAGGGGCGGTGACGCTTGAGTCTCTAGGCCAGCGGGGGCCTCAGCAGGGTTATTACTTGAGTAGGGAGTTGAGGCAGTTTCTTTTTAGAAATTAGAAGTTAGCTATTGTTGTGTAATAGTTTGCAACTTAAATTAACAAAACTTTGCAACTTAAATTAAGAAAACTTACTTCAGCCGGGCGCGGTGGCTCACGCCTGTAATCCCAGCACTTTGGGAGGCCGAGGCGGGCGGATCACAAGGTCAGGAGATCGAGACCACGGTGAAACCCCGTCTCTACTAAAAATACAAAAAATTAGCCGGGCGTGGTTGTGGGCGCCTGTAGTCCCAGCTACTCGGGAGGCTGAGGCAGGAGATGGCGTGAACCCGGGAGGCGGAGCTTGCAGTGAGCCGAGATCGCGCCACTGCACTCCAGCCTGGGCGACAGAGCGAGACTCCGTCTCAAAAAAAAAAAAAAAAAAAAAAATTAAGAAAACTTACTTCAGCCGGGCGCGGTGGCTCAAGCCTGTAATCCCAGCACTTTGGGAGGCCGAGTCGGGTGGATCACGAGGTCAGGAGATCGAGACCATCCTGGCTAACATGGTGAAACCCCGTCTCTACTAAAAAATAACAAAAAACTAGCCGGGCGATGTGGCAGACGCCTGTAGTCCCAGCTACTCGGGAGGCTGAGGCAGGAGAATGGCGTGAACCCGGGAGGCGGAGCTTGCAGTGAGCCGAGATCCGGCCACTGCACTCCAGCCTGGGCGGCAGAGCGAGACTCCGTCTCAAAAAAAAAAAAAAAAAAGAAAACTTACTTCAGATAGTTTCTGAGGGTTGGGAATTTGGGAGCACTTGGTTGCGTGGTCCTGGATTGGGCTCTCTCAGAAGTTGTAGTCACGATACCAGCCAAGCAGGGCCACATCATTCGAAGGCTGGACTGGGGCTGGAGGAGCCTCTCACAGGCTGGCTCCCTCTAGTGGCTGTTGGTGGGAGGCCTCAGTTCTGTGGAGCTGCTGGAGGGTGCTCACAGCAGGGCGGCTGCCTTCCCCAGATCCCGTGACCCCAGAGGGAGAGCAAGGATGCAGCCCTGTGCCTTTCGTGAACTAGCCTTGGAGATGGCACACTGTCACTTCCATCACATTCTGTTTGCTAGAAGCAGGTCACTAAGTCCAGCCCATCCTCAAGGGGAGGGGAGTTAGCCTCCAGTATTGGAAGGGATGAGCATCAGAGATTTGTGGACACATTGGAAAACCCAGCATTGACATCCCAGCACGTGGGGGTGAAGAAAAGCGGGGAGACGGAGTCTCTGCCCAGGAGGTGACCAGGTAGTGAGAGGCGGAGGCAGGAGATGGGCTGGAGTGAGGACCCCCCTGTCACCCAGAATGCGTGGGGGGCTCATCTGGAGGCTGGGGTGGAGAGACAGCTGGCCACGTGGGCCCCTTTCCCGATAGTTTCTCCAGGCTGACTTGCTGGTCCTTTTGATTGTCTGGGGCCCTGGGACCCTCAGTGTGCCCATCTCGGAGATGGGGTGGTAGCGTACTCCTCTCTGGAAGCATCGTGGGTATTAGCAAGGTCATGGCAGACATGGAGACGTAAAGGGGTTCAGGCACGTGCTCATGGGTATTAGCAAGGTCATGGCAGACATGGAGACGTAAAGGGGTTCAGGCACGTGCTCAGGGCCACCTGCGGCAGGCACGACTGTCCTGGCTGACCCCGCCACAGCACCAAGAGGGAGAGGGGAGAGCCTCGGGGGTGCTTGGCGTACGGGGGCAGGGTGGCCGTGGCCACTGAGCAAAGCTCTGGGGAAGGGGGCGCCCAGCCCTTGGAGTGGTCTGTGCAGAGAAGCCCTTGGGGTGAGCCCATCTGTCGGGGCACCGCCGCCGCATCTGTGCGCTGTCCCTCTGGCGGCCATTGATCATGAACTGGTGTGGCCGTGGGGGAGCTGTGCAGTCCCAGCTGGGGGCCAGTGCCGTGTGGCTTTTTTTTTTTTTTTTTTTTTGAGACGGAGTCTTGCTCTGCCGCCCAGGCTGGAGTGCAGTGGCCGGATCTCAGCTCACTGCAAGCCCCGCCTCCCGGGTTCATGCCATTCTCCTGCCTCAGCCTCCCGAGTAGCTGGGACTACAGGCACCCGCCACCGCGCCCGGCTAGTTTTTTTGTATTTTTTTAGTAGAGACGGGGTTTCACCGTGTTAGCCAAGATGGTCTCGATCTCCTGACCTCGTGATCCGCCCGTCTCGGCCTCCCAAAGTGCTGGGATTACAGGCGTGAGCCGCCGCGCCCGGCCCAGTGCCGTGTGGCTTGATTTGGCCTGAGACCGTGTGGTCTTTGACGTAAATCCCAAATTGGCCCCCAGGAAAGTGTGTCCTCGCAGAACTTCTGGAAAAGGGTGGTTCCAATAAGACCCTGGCTTGGAGGAGAATGGGAAGGGCGCTTTGTAAGCTCTTTCTGAGGAGTCAGGAGGCTGTGGCGTCTGCTGGAGACGGTCAGCCTCACGTGCTTTGGTTTCCTATGCTGGGCGCTGCAGCGTGGCGGGGTCTGGATGAGAGGGGGCAGCGGCACGAGAGCCGGGCCCCGACTGCCACCCGCCCTCACGTGCCCCGTCCCCAGGCACGGGCGAGAGCGGGAAGAGCACCTTCATCAAGCAGATGCGCATCATCCATGGCGCCGGCTACTCGGAGGAGGACAAGCGCAGCTTCACCAAGCTCGTCTACCAGAACATCTTCACCGCCATGCAGGCCATGATCCGGGCCATGGAGACGCTCAAGATCCTCTACAAGTACGAGCAGAACAAGGTGAGCCGCGGGCGCCTGGGGAGGGGAGCGCCTGGGCAGCTGTGGGCTTGGCAGTGAGCACGGTGGCCGCATTGCCGGGGTGGGGCCGTGCCGGGGGTCCCGGCCAGCCCAGGCTACCCCTGGTCATCCATCCGTTCCTGTCATGGACGTGGAAACAGCAACCACCGCCTTCCTGGGGGCCAGCTGGAGAATTGTGACGGGCATTGCGTGGCCGAGCCCCACAGCTTCCCTCCCAAGTAGCTGTGGGCTCAGGTGATCCCACCTCAGCCTCCCGGGTAGCTGGGACTACAGGTGCACCACCACGCCTAGCTACTTTTTGTAATTTTTGTAGAGATGGAATTTCACATGTTGCCCAGGCTGGTCTTGAACTCCTGGGCTCAAGCAGTCCTCCTGCTTTGGCCTCCCACAGTGCTGGGATTACAGGTATGAGCCACCATGCCTGGCCTCCGCCCTGGTTTTTTTGTTCTTTTTTTTTAATAAAGTAGAGGTTGTTTGATGCCCTGTTTTTAAATCACAGCTTTATTGAGTTATAATTCACATTCTATGTACTTTACTTGCTTAAAGGGTATAATCTGGTGGTTTTCGATATGTTTGCATAGTCGTGCAGCCATCACCGCTGTCGGATTCCGGAACGTTTCATCTTCCCAAAGGAAACCCCTTCCCCATTGGCTATTACTTCCACCCCCTCCTCCAGCCCCGGTACCCACACATCCGCTTCCTGCCTTTGTGGCTCGGCCTGTCCTGAACATTTCATAGAAATAGGATTGCACACTGTGTGGCGTTTTGTGTCCAGCGTCTGTCACTGAGCGTGACGTCCTCAAGGTGCATCCACATTGTGACGTGTGTCAGAGCCTCGTCCCTGTTCATGGCTGAGTCATGTTCCAGTGCATGGAGGGACCGTGTATGTGCCCATTTATCCCCTGGCGGACGTGTGAGCGCCTTCATGTGTGTGCTGTTGGGAATGGAGCTGCTGTGACCGTCTGTGGACATGTGTTTATGTGGACCACGTGTTCCCTTCCCTCAGTTGCATGCTATGCCCGGGAGCGGAATCGCTGGGTCCCAGGGTTACCCTGAATTTGCCCTCTGAGAAGCCTCCAGTTTCCCCGAGTGGCCGCCCTATGTGGCAGGCCCAGCAGCCGTGCAGCCGTGGCTCCTGCCAGTGGCCTCCCTGGGGCCTTCTAGCCGAGGGGCCGTTGATCCCGCTTTTGTAGCCCTGTTTTCAGGGGTGGGGCTCTTGTGCTTAGATCTTGGTTTGCCACTTGCCCTGTCTCCCGCTGTGATCTCCTCCAGCTGTGGCCCCCTCTGAGCGTCCACATTCATGTTTGGGCATAGATCTCCATCAACATCTGAAACAGGTGTCTGCAAACTACAGACTGATTTTGTCGATAAAGTTTTATTGGTACTTACCCATTTCTGCCATGTTGCCCATGGTGCTTCGGCAGCAGCAGCAGAGCTGAGTGCTGGAGACGGTCCGTGTGGTCGGGACAGCTGGGCGTGCTCTCTGGCTCTCTGCAGAAGCAGATTGCTGATCCCTAATCTGGAAGTTTCCAGGGAGTGGGATTTTTGGGGTTTGTGTCTCTTTTTCCAAGTCCCCCTAGGTGTGCTTATCCCAGGCCAGATTGAGAGGCTGGGGGCAGGGCAAGGGGAGGGCTGAAGTTGGAGTCGGGGCCAGGGAGCTTTGCTCAGAGGGGACAAGCAAGGGCTGAGTCTCCACTCTGGGGGGCCTGGGAGGGCCCCATGGCTCCCAGAGCCCAGGGCAAGACTCCCTTCTTTCCCATCTGGGTCCCACCCAGTATGTCCCCTCCCCAGTCCCTCAGCCAAACTGTGGCTGGTCATGTCGGCTTGTGCCCCCGGGGGACGGGGATACGGAGCGTCAGGAGGGGAATGGACAGTCCCCTACAGTGTCTGCCGCTGAAGGGTGTGCGTGTGTGTGTGCAAGCACGTGTCTGTGCGGTTGGCCTGCCTTTGTGACAGGGCAGCAAGCTGGGGCCTGAGGCCGCCCACTGCCCAGGGTTGCGTGAGGGGGAGGCGGCTCGTGTTGGGGCAGCGGGTGAACTGTTGGTAAACTGTTGAGTGCGGCGGCTCGGGGGCCACATGCCGTCCTTAGCACCGGGTGTGGTGCTTGCCCTTGATGGTGTTTGATAAGCATTTTTTGGACGAAAGAGAGAAGCCAGGCGGGGCAGAAACTGAGTCTGGAGCTGCACCCTGCGGGCAGTGCCGCTGGTTGCAACGCCCTGTGTCTGGGCTTCCTGCCTCCCAGTGTCTCTGGAGGCAGTGAGTGCTGGGGCTGTTCGCCCGCTCTGGGCGCTGCCGCCGTCTGTTCTGTTGTCGTGCTCCATCGTGCTCGGTGCTGCACTGCCCTCCTGCGGGTCCCGGGTTTGAAGCGTGTGTGTCCCACGCGTGCTTGTTCCCCACGCCGTCCCCTCCCCACCTCTGAGAAGTGAATCGAAGCCCGGCCTCCCGGCACCCTGCAGACAGCACCACTGGGAGACTTTGGTTTTGGAGCCTTGTTGGAGGAACCGCACTGTGAGGCAGCCTCGTGTTTTTCTGACACATGGTTACACGAAACTGTCAGTGGTCCTGACTGCGCAGCCTGCAGAATGCTGCCCAGGCCAGCCAGGCTTGGAAGAGGGGCCGCTCGAGCTTTCTGGTGGCTCCGTGGCCCCTGGTGAGCTCTCGGCCTCTCCCCTGCCCGCCCTTGCAGGCCAATGCACTCCTGATCCGGGAGGTGGATGTGGAGAAGGTGACCACCTTCGAGCATCAGTACGTCAGCGCCATCAAGACCCTGTGGGACGACCCCGGCATCCAGGAGTGCTACGACCGCAGGCGCGAGTACCAGCTCTCCGACTCTGCCAAGTAGTAAGTGCGGCCGCACCGGAGGCGGCATGGGAACGGTGGCTGCGGGCCGGCGCCCGGGACCCTTCGGGAAGCCCTCCGCAGCGCCTGTGGTGCCCCCTGCCCGCTCGCCTGGGGCAGGGACATGGTGGGCCCCAGCTACCTGGCCGGAGGGACCAGAGCAGAGCAGACCCTGGACGGGCCATGCTTTGGCAGGAGCCCGTGGACTCTGGTGTGACACTGGCCTCCTTGTACGCCTGGCCCTGCCACTACCCTCCCTGGGTCAGGACTGAGCTCCTGGCCACCCTCGGTGCTGGAGCCTGGCCTGTGGCCTGTGGCGCAAACCCACAGTCTCCTAGAAGGGCCGTGGGATGGGAGGTGGATACACCCTGGGCTGTCTCACTCCTGCCTGTGGCATCGTCCCCAGAGCCACGTCTCCCACTAGTGACTGGCTGTGACCCTGACTGATGTTGGGGTTCTCCCAGTCTCTGGGCCTGGGATAGGGGATGACTTGTGTGCTGACAGTTGGCCGGGCCATGGCTGCAGGAGGCCCCCGCGCGGCAGGCTGTGCACTGCTGCCCTCCATGCTTGGCAGGCAGAGGCCCTAAGGGGACAAGGACAGGCCCGTCCCCCGCCCCTCCTGCTCGTCTTCCGTGTGTTCCCTGCCTCTGGGAGGCTGTGGGAGGGCCCAGATAACCAAGCACTTGCAGCCAAATGCCAGGGCCTGTGGGTGGTGCCGGAAAGGTCTGTGCAGGCACCCGGCCTCCCAGGCAGACCACTCGAGAGTCGCCCCACTCAGGACTGCCCAGGGCGTCAGAAATGGGAAACGGTCACAGCCCAGAGGGCCTCAGGAGACCCTCTGATGCCAGGTGGGGTCCCAGAGAGGGGTTGCGGGCTGAGCAGGAAAAGGCATGAGGGGAACCGAGGAAGCCGGAATCAGGCGTGGACTTCAGTAGCTGCGCTGTGTAGACGTTGGCTTGTTGCTCTGGGTGCTTGCTGCACCCGCGGACGGGGGCAGCTGGCCTGAGCGACCCCCGCTGTGTTGCAGCTACCTGACCGACGTGGACCGCATCGCAACCTCGGGCTACCTGCCCACCCAGCAGGACGTGCTGCGGGTCCGCGTGCCCACCACCGGCATCATCGAGTACCCTTTCGACCTGGAGAACATCATCTTCAGGTACCGCCCGGGCCGCAGCAGGCGGGGGCCGCTGAGAGGCTCCTTTGCCTGCTGTGTCAGCCCACGCCTGCGCACCCAGCGCTCTGGGAGGCCAAGGCGGGAGGATCGCCTGAGTCCCGGAGTTGGAGACCACCCTGGGCAACATAGCAAGACCTCGTCTCTAAAAAAATTTGAAAAGTTAGCCGGGTGTGGTGGTGCGCACCTGTGGTCCCAGCTACTCAGGAGGCTGAGGCAGGAGAATCGCTCAGGCCCAGGAGGTCGAGGCTGAAGTGAGCCATGATGGCGCCGCCACTGGACTCCAGCCTGGGCGGCAGAGGGACACCCTGTCTTGTCTTATTAAAGAAAAAGAAGCCCATGAGTCTTCATCCTCAGGGTGTGTTTGACCAGGCCGGGAGATAAGATTTCTCTCTAAGTATGTGTGAGCCAGGGCCGCACAGGGAAGGAGCTGTGGGGCTGTGGGGGTTGTAGCCACATCCATCCAGACTGGGAGCCAAAGAGACCTGGCGGGGAGGACATTGGACGGGGTCTCCACAACGGGCCAGGGCCTGGATGGAGCGACCATGGGGCTGGGGTCTGGAGTGTTGGCTGGAGGAGGGGGTGCCACAGGCTGCGGGAGGGGTCATAGGGACTGAGGCTGCCAGGGCAGGGGGGTCATGGGAATTGAGGCTGCTGGGGAGGGGGGTCATAGGGACCCAGGGTGTGAGGGGAGGGGGGTCATAGGGACCGAGGGTGCGAGGGGAGGGGGGTCATAGGGACCGAGGCTGCGAGGGGAGGGGGGTCATAGGGACCGAGGCTGCGAGGGGAGGGGGGTCATAGGGACCGAGGCTGCGAGGGGAGGGGGGTCATAGGGACCGAGGCTGCCAGGGGAGGGGGGTCAAGGGACCCAGGGTGTGAGGGGAGGGGGGTCATAGGGACCGAGGCTGCGAGGGGAGGGGGGTCATAGGGACCGAGGCTGCCAGGGGAGGGGGATCATAGGGACCGAGGCTGCCAGGGGAGGGGGATCATAGGGACCGAGGCCTCAAGCGGAGGGGAAGTTGTAGGAACTGAAGCTGTGAGGGGAGGGGGATCATAGGGACCGAGGCTGCGAGGGGAGGGGGTTCATAGGGACCGAGGCTGCGGGGGGAGGAGTGGTCATAGGGACCGAGGCTGCGAGGGGAGGGGGTTCATAGGGACCGAGGCAGCGAGGTGAGGGGGTTCATAGGGACTGAGGAGGGAGAGGACGAGGGGTCATAGGGACCGAGGCTGCCAGGGGAGGGGTTCATAGGGACTGAGGAGGGAGGAGGGCTCCAGGCTGGGGTGGAGGCGCTGGGTGGTGTGGGCTGGATTCTGTTCTTCATGGGCTGCCCCTGTGGATCCCGTCTGGTCTCCGGGGCTCCAGGTCCACTGTGGCTGGGGGCCGGCCAGCAGAGCAGAGTTCTCCCTGGGGACCCTCCGTGGGTCCTGTGCCGGGTAGGCTGCGCAGCTGGCTGGACTCTGCTGTCCCTGGGAGTGTGGACCCTGCCTGCCTGGCCCTGGCCCCGTACAACATCTCCAGTGCTAAGGCCCTGGCTGCTGTCGGGCCGCTGAGGGGCCGGGCTGGGCGTGCCTGTCCTGGGCTGCTGGGGCCAGGTGTGAGACTCCCTCCGCAGGCCTTATTCCCGCCCAGTGCTTGAGGCCAGAAGGCTGAGATGCAGGTGTGGGTGGGACCGGGTCCTTCTGAGGCGGAGGGGATCTGCCCAGGCCTCACCCGGCTCCTAGTGGTGGCTGCATCCTTGGCTTGTGGCCACGTTGCCCCATCCCTGCCCCCTCTTCATGCGGCGTCCTGCCTGCCTGCGTCTTTGCCTCTGTTCTCTTATCACCTGTCCTTGGCCAGGGCCACCCTACCTCTGTGTGACGTCATCTTAACCGGTGACATCTGCACAGACCCCGTTTCCGGATCAGAACCGTCCCCGGGTTCTGCAGGGGACGATTCTGCAGCGCAAGCTCGCCCTGGCACTGGGCCTCGTGAGGGAATGATGCCTCCCGGCCAGGGTGTCCCCACCCAGCTGGTGCACGGCCGAGGCCGTCGTGAGGGTTTCAGGAAGTCTGTGGGGTTTTCCTTGAGGGCCCTGCCCTGAAACCCACCCCAGGGCTGGGGGCGCCACCCCCTGCCGTCCGTCTGTTCTCCCCGCCTGTCCTCCCAGCTCGGCCTCCCAGCGCAGGCAGGGAGGGTGCGGCGTGAGGATGGAGGCAGGGACGGAGCAGCGTTGCCACAAGCCAAGGAATGCCAAGCTCTGGGTGGCTCCTGGGACCAGAGCAGGCCGGGCCGCAGAAGCTGTGGTGTCCTCTCTGGACATGGGCGATGGTGTATGTTGTTTCAGGAATGCAAGTTTTTCTTGTTTTTTATTCACACGGGGCCCATGACCCCGGGATAAAGCTGAGGCTAGCTGGGCACAGGCCAGGGTGTGGCATGACCATCCCCTCCCCACCTCGTGTCTCAGAGTCCCCTCGCAGCCCCACGCTGGCTCCTTCACAGCGCAGGCCTCTGTGTCCTCTGTCAGAAATGTCCTGTCCCCTCCCTGAGCTCAGGCCAGGTGTGTCACCTCCTCCCCACCACCTTCCGGGCCCTTCCCAGCTCCGGCTGTGCCCTCTGTGCTGGGTGCAGAGCCCCGTCCTGAGCCCAGTCCTCTGCCACCGTCATTTCTCTGCCAGCCGCCTCTGTCTGCCATGAGCCAGCAGAGGGCCGGCCAGGTGCTCTGGGATGCAACTGGAGGCCAGATCCCTGTCTGGAGGCCTTGAAGGCTGGTGGGATCGCCCCAGTGCATGAGGAGGGTCTCCTGCCCTCTCAGGTGGGGACAAGACACAGGGGGACCTGGATCCCAGCCCTGCCGGCTGCCACAGGCATGCAGGAGACTCCTCACACTCCAGATGGGCTGTGGCCTGGTGTCGGCACACCCATTGCCCTCCCGCCTGGCCGCAGCTGCTGGTGTGGGCCCTCTTGTCCCTTAGAGTCACCTGGCACATCTGTCATCCACCTGTGCCTGCTGGACTCCTCTGCAGACCAGACCAGGTGGATTTCACGGCTCACGTGCCCAAGGCAGCCCGGCTGTCCTCGGCAGAGCTGCAGGGACCCCGGCCTTCCCTGGGGCCTGGGGCCGAGGCCTGAGCGGCACTCTCCGCTTCTGCCTTTGTATTCTTTCAAGAAGACCAAAGTGCCTTTCTTCATTACAGAAAACTTAGAAAAGTCACAAGTAGAAAGAGGTAAACCTCCTGTAAGGAACCCACGCCCACAGGTACCGTCTGAGCTGATTTTTTCTCCCGCTTGTGTGTGGCCCGAGAGTGTGAGGTTGGGCTGCTCACCAGGCGGGGCTGCTCTCCTGCCCCAGGACGATACCAGCAACTCTGCCCTCTGCAGCCGTCACTGGGGGTCCTGCAGGGAGCAACTGTGGCATCAGTGTTTACTCCTGTGAGTGACACTTGGTCAACATCTGTGTCTCTGGCCCTAGCGAGGGGAAAGGCTTCTGTACTCAGGGTGACATCCAGATGCCGGACGTAGGGTCTGTGGTCACCCATCGCAGGTTCCCGCAGCAACTGGCGCCCAGAATCCTCTGGGTTCTCGCACCCCCACCCTAGCGCCCGCTCCCCTGGGCCCAGTGGTCTCGGGCCCCTTTGCCAGTGAGGGAAGGGTCTGCAGTGGTCACTTCTGGAGGCGGGGCGGCTGCTCTCTGAGCGTCCTTGCCGGTTCTAACAGTGGGGGCTCTTCCTGCTCCAGCCGCTGTCAGTCTGGTATGGCAGGAGGGTCCTGTGTGGTAGCCGTCCTGGGATTGCAGACTGGGCCTTGGGGCCCCAGGTGGCTGAGTCCTGGCGCTGTGTCCTTTCAGGATGGTGGATGTGGGCGGCCAGCGGTCGGAGCGGAGGAAGTGGATCCACTGCTTTGAGAACGTGACATCCATCATGTTTCTCGTCGCCCTCAGCGAATACGACCAAGTCCTGGTGGAGTCGGACAATGAGGTGGGCCCTGCCCTGAGCAGGGGCAGCATGGGGGACCGGGCCTTCTCCACCTGCTGAGCCTGGGTCCCCTCACTCGGGTCCCCTCAGCTGCCCCTCGGGCTGTGTGCAGGGGGGAGGGCCCCTCTGATCCCCGGTGCCTTCACTTCCGCCAGAACCGGATGGAGGAGAGCAAAGCCCTGTTCCGGACCATCATCACCTACCCCTGGTTCCAGAACTCCTCCGTCATCCTGTTCCTCAACAAGAAGGACCTGTTGGAGGACAAGATCCTATACTCGCACCTGGTGGACTACTTCCCCGAGTTCGACGGTGCGCTGGGCTGCGGCACGGGGGACTTGGGTGGGAGGGGTCCTGTGGGGCGGGGGACTCGGGTGGGAGGGGTCCTGTGGGGCGGGGGATCTCAGGTGGGAGGGGTCTCCCGGGGCGGGGGACTCGGGTGGGAGGGGTCCTGTGGGGCGGGGGATCTCGGGTGGGAGGGGTCCTATGGGGCGGGGGACTCGGGTGGGAGGGGTCTCCCGGGGCGGGGGATCGCGGGTGGGAGGGGTCCTGTGGGACTGGGGATCTCGGGTGGGAGGGGTCTCCCGGGGCGGGGGATCGCAGGTGGGAGGGGTCTCCCGGGGCGGGGGACTCGGGTGGGAGGGGTCTCCCGGGGCGGGGGATCGCAGGTGGGAGGGGTCTCCCGGGGCGGGGGATCGCGGGTGGGAGGGGTCTCCCGGGGCGGGGGGTCTCGGGTGGGAGGGGTCTCCCGGGGCGGGGGGATCTCGGGTGGGAGGGGTCTCCCGGGGCGGGGGGATCTCGGGTGGGAGGGGTCTCATACCAGGAGGGCACCATGGGGAGGGGGAGTTTTGTATCGGTGGCTGTCATATGGGAGGGAGTTGTCGTATGGGGGTGTCCTGTATAGATGATCCCGTATGGGAGGGTCTCACAGGAAGGGTTCATGCACACTGTCAGCGCAGCCCCGTGGGGACCTTGGTGGTAGTCCCGGCGTCCTCCTCTGTGCGTAAGTGCCCGCAGGCTTGGGCCCCTCCCTCACTGTGTGGCCCCTGCCCCGCGGGGCGGTCAGGGCAGCTGAGCACTGAGGGTCTTCACATGCCCAGCCCTCTCTGGGCCTGCAGATGACGGTCAGGGGAGGGTGTCGTGTGCCCTTGTCTGTGTGGTCAGTGGCTGCCGTTAGCGCTGTCACCACTCAGAGCTGTCCCCGCCAGGCGCAGTGAGGCCCCGGACAGCTCTGGTGCCCTCGCTTCCACCTGGGATCTGTGCTCCTCCCGGGAGTCTCGGTGTCATCGTCAGGAGGGCCGCTCGGGGCGCTCTGCCTCTGGAAGGGCAGCGGGAGGGAGGGGTCTGGCGCGCGGTGTGACCTCGGTCGCTGGAGCAGGTGCGGGGCCCTGCTGTCCCTGGTCAGGGGAGTGGCAGGGGGTGCTGCACCTGCTCCAGCCACACGTGGCCCCTGCCTGGCAGCCTGTCCTGTGGGCTCAGGGAGCCCTGGTCGGGGGAGGCCAAGGGACTGGGCATGGAACCCTGTCCCGCCAGTCCCCAGAGTGGTCCCCTGAACACCCCCAGGGGCCTTTCCATCAGGGCAGTCAGGAGTTACTGGGCGGGGTGCCGAGTTGTCCAGGGTGGCGGAGGGCAGGGGTGGCGGAGGGCAGGGGTGGCGGAGGGCAGGGGTAGCGGGTGGGAAACAGCGCGCCTGCTGGAGCCTCTGGGAGGTCTCCGAGGCCCTGCCTGCAGCAGGGGCACTGTGGGTGGGTGGGGGCTGCTGTTCCTGCTCTGTGGGCTCTCTGCCCAGCCCTGGGGGCCTCTCCTCTCACCCTGGGCCACGCAGGGCAGCCATGCCAGAGGCCTGCCCTAGAAGGCTGTGGCTGTGGAACTGAGTGGGTAGAGGCTGGCAGAGGGCTGAGCAGAGGAGCAGCGGGGGTACGGAGCCCCCGGTTGGAGGCCTGGGCCCTGACAACAGTGCCCTGGGGCTGCAGTGGGATGGGCACCGCAGCTCACCCGGGTCGGGGAGCAGCGGCCCGTCAGGCATGCAGTGGGCTCTGGGCTGGCGGCGAGCCGGGTGGGCTGTGGGCGTTGCTCACTCATCCCCTGGGAGTGACAAAGGGGCCCACGCATCCCTTGCCCTGGGCTGGGCTGGGCCGGGCACAGCCTCACCCTCCGCCCTCCCCCAGGGCCCCAGCGGGACGCTCAGGCGGCGCGGGAGTTCATCCTGAAGATGTTCGTGGACCTGAACCCCGACAGCGACAAGATCATCTACTCACACTTCACGTGTGCCACCGACACGGAGAACATCCGCTTCGTGTTCGCGGCCGTGAAGGACACCATCCTGCAGCTCAACCTCAAGGAGTACAACCTGGTCTGAGCGCCCAGGCCCGGGGAGACAGGACGGAGACACGGGGCAGGACCTGCCTTCCACGGCGCCCGCGGCTGCCGGGCGGGTGGCGCTGCCGAGCCTGGGCCGGGGCCTCTGCCCGCGGGAGGAGTTTTTCTTTTTTTTTTCATATTTTTAACAAATGGTTTTTATTTCACAGTTGTCAGGGGATGTACATCTCTCCCTCCGCACACGTCGCACACCTTCTCACCTTCTGTCAGCGGCAAAGCAGCCTTTTTCTGGCCTTGACTTACGGCTCGCTTTTTTCTAAAAAAAAAAAAGAAAAAAGAAAAAAAAGCAACGAAGCATAAAACCCACACACGCCCCATGCCCCCAGTGACTCCGGGCCTCACAGAGCCCCTGCCAGCCAGCATGGGGGTCCCCGCCTCGCAGGCCCCCACGGCTGTCCTTCCAACCCCACCTGCTGCGGCTTTCTCCTTCCCGCTTCTTTTCTTCCTCACGAAAGGCCTGGAGACTCGGAGACCGACGTTTTCCCCCTTTTTTAAGTTATTGACGCCCAGTGCGCCTCGCCTCTTCACGAATCAATGCTGTGCTTCGCTCACTGGACTCCTGAAGAGGGGGTGGGGGGCTCCCTCAGTCGCCCACCCTGGGAAGTGCCTAACCTTTTTTTTTTTTTTTTTTTTTTTTGAGGAAAAAGAACGCCTGACTCACAGGTTGAAGAAACGCCCTGGGCCCTCTGTCATGGCAGGGTCCCCCGTCTCTCTGCAGAGGCTGGGAAGGGTCCCCGGGCTGGAGCCACGGGGGCTCCTCTGGGCTGTGCCTCCAGGGCCAACACTGGCCTCTTGGGGCTGCCCGGGGACCCTGCCCTGGCTGGAGCGCACCCCACCGGAGCCTACATGGGCTTGGCAGCTGGAGGGATGGCTCCCCGGTGACACTGGGAGAAACGCCACTTGGATGGGGGCATTTATTTTCGTTTTGTTCTGCTTTGTGTTGTCACCAATTTGGAAACAGTGAGGGTGGGGTGAGGACTTTTATAGAATATTCTCAGGTGTGTACCCGAGAGGCAGAGAGAGGGACGTGGCCGGCTGCTCTGTGCGTGGCCTTGTCCTGAGCACTTGTGCCCGCCCCCGAGCCCTGCCCCGGGGGAGCGGAAGCCAGCACTCGCACTTTGGCCAGGGGTGCGTGGAAGGTGGCGGCAGGCACCGGCCTGGACGGCTTCCAGGCCTGGCTGGCCACGGCCACGGCCCGTCAGGCCACGCCGCACTGAGCCACAGCCCCGGGGGCCACTCCCGGGCCCCCTTAGGCACTGAGGCACCAAGACTGGCTCGAGGGGACTGTGTTTGGGGAGGTGGCTTTTTCATCCGCTGTTGACTGAACACTACCACGCCCTATGGATCTGGGCTTCGCACAGCTGTCCCAGGGATAGATCGCCCGTACTGCCTTTGCCCGCCGCCACTCCGGGACCCTGCACGGCTGCTTCGACAGATGACGAAAGACACCCCAAAATACGGCCACCCCGACCAGCAGTTCCTGCCCGCCCGCCCGCCACTGTCAGGCCTGCCTTGGCCTCCTTGCCCGCAGGGCTGTCTGCTGGCTTCCAGGGGGAGAAAAGCGGGGAGCCCCGTGGAGGGGGCAGGGTAGATGTGTGCAGGTCAGGGCAGCTACATTTCTGGTGATCAGCCCCACGGGGAGACGGGGCCGGCGGGACCCCCCCGGCTTCCCCACGCCACTTTTCTTCCGCCTCACCCAGAAGCATCCTTTTTTTGTGCCAGGTGTCCACCTAAGAGGGTTGGCTCCAGAAGCCCCGTGGCAAGTGCTGGGACCCGGCGATGCCTTGGGGGAGCAGATGGGGCCACCCCTGGCAGGGCCGCGGCAACCTTTTCCAGCAGCAGAGTCCTGTGGGGGGCCTGTGCTTGTGGCATCTCTGAGGGCCCAAATCGCACAAGGTGACCTGGCCGTGGCCTGAGGGTGGAGTCGTCCAGCACGCGGCCGGGGCGCTGCCGGGCTACGTATTAGCCCTTCCCAGGGAGGGGGCCGTGCCAAGCATCCCAGAGCCGGGCTGGGGCCGCCAAAACGTCTTGGCCTGGGTCCTCTGGGTCTGAGTGCCTGATCCCCTGGCACCCCAAAAAAGCGGAGGTGGGTGTCGCAGGCCCGGGGCAGGGGTGCCTGCTCCAGGAGAGTTCCAGGCGGTGGTTCTCGTGCCAGTGGCACCCAGGGGCAGGGACAGCTGACCCCAACCCTTGCCACATGTGGGGTGTGTGTTTTTACCTTGGTGAATCTCACCTGCCAACGCTTTCTCGTGAGTGCCGACCACCTTCTCCGACCATGTCACGCCCAGGCGGCAGCAGCCCCCGGCCACTGCAAGACCCACACCCTGGGTCTCCCGGCTTCCACAGAGGGGCATCCCCGTGCCAATGTCCCCAGTGGTGGCAGCGGATCCTGCGGCTGGCCTGGTGGACGGGACCCGGTGATACTTGTATATTACACAGTCCTGATTTCAGACAATTTCAACCTTAATCTATTTAAAAAAAATATTCTATACAAGCTGTTTTTAAGCCTTTTACCATTTGAAATGCATGTGTTGTGCGCGTTGAGGGATGGGAGGAGGGGCTGAGAGGCGGCTCAGTGTCACCTCCCACAGCCACCGGCCCTGACCCTTAATCCAGACACCGATGGAAGTCGACTTTTCATATCTTTCTCCTGAAATGAATTCTGTTTTAAATTGGAATAAATTTTGTTCCTAAATGCTGGCGGCCCCTTCTGGTTTATTTCCTGTTGCCCTTTGAAGGGGGCTGTGGGAGTGAGCAGAGGCCTGGCCCCCAGGAGCCCTGGAGTTGCCTAGGCCATTGCCTGCCCTGAGTGGGGACACCGTCCCCGCACGGTGTCCCGGGGCCCCTCCCCATCATCGTGTTTGACCCCTGGCTTCAAGTTCATTTCACTAGCACCAGGCCAGAGCAACCCGCTTGGGAAACGCCGCCTTGTTTGGGGGCTGGGGACGCGGAAGTGAGACGGGGAGGAGCCCAGGTCCCAGGCCGGCCTGCCCCTCAACCTCCAGGGCGCCTGTGGGGAAGTCATGCCCTCTGGGCCTCCATTTCTTTAAGCTGCGAATGTGGTACTTCTGCAGCCTTCCTTCAGTTATTTTTTCCATTTGAAAAAAAAAATTAATTGTAAAATACAGATAACAAATTTCTTTTCTTTTTTCTTTTTTTTTGAGGTGGAGTCTCCCTCTGCCACCCAGGCTGGAGTGCAGTGGCGCGATCTCAGCTCACCGCAACCTCCGCCTCCTCAGTTCGAGCAATTCTCCTGCCTCGGCCTCCTGAGTCGCTGGGTTTACAGGTGTGTGCCACCACGCCCGGCTAATTTTTTTCTGTTTTTTAGTAGAGACTGGGTTTCACCTTATTGGTCAGGCTGGTCTTGAGCTCCTGACCTTGTGACCCGCCCGCCTCGGCCTCCCAAAGTGCTGGGATCACAGGCATGAGCCACTGCGCCCGGCCGCAGATAACACATTTCTGAGTGCACAGCTCAGTGGCATTAAGTGTATGCACACGGTCATGCAGCCATCACCATCATCCTCCCCAGAACTTTATCTTCCCAAATTGAAACTGTCCCCACGAAAGACTCATTCCCCGTCCCGCTCCCCAGCTCCTGGCGCCCCCCATCCTCCTTTCCGTGTCTGTGAATCTAATGGCTTTTATGGACCTCCTAGGAGTGGAACCACGCGGGATGTGTCCTGTGTCTCTGGCGTCTCTCACTGAGCGTGATGTCCTCAAGGTGCATCCACACTGAAGCCTGGGTCCGGATTCCCTTGCTTTTCTTTTCTTTTCTTTTTTTTCTTTTTTTTGAGACGGAGTCTCACTCAATCCCCCAGGCTGGAGTGCAGTGGCGCGATCTCAGCTCACTGCAAGCTCCACCTCCCGGGTTCGTGCCATTCTCCTGCCTCAGCCTCCCGAGTAGCTGGGACTACAGGCGCCTGCCACCTTCACCGGCTAATTTTTTTGTATTTTTTTAGTAGAGACGGGGTTTCACCATGTTAGCCAGGATGGTCTCGATCTCCTGACCTTATGATCTGCCCGCCTCGGCCTCCCAAAGTGCTAGGATTACAGTCATGAGCCACCGTGCCCGGCCCGGATTCCCTTCCTTTTCATGACTCAGTAATATTCCACTGTGTGCATGGGCCACACTGTGTTGATCTGTCTGTCGTTGATGGACGCCTGGGGCGTTTCCACCTTGTGGCTGTTGGCAGTTGTGCCACTGCTCACCTGCGTGTGCAAGCTTCTGTTTGAGTCCCTCCTCTCAGTCCTTGTAGGTGTGCATCCAGAGGTAGCATTGCTGGGTCCTCTGGTCCTTTTTTTTCTTTTGGATGTACCTTGAGGAGTCTCGCTCTGTCGCCAGGCTGAAATGTAGTGGTGCGATTTCGGCTCACTGCAGCCTCCACCTCCCAGGTTTAAGCAATTCTCCTGCCTCAGCCTCCCGACTAGCTGGACTACAGGCGCCTGCCACCATGACCGCTAATTTTTGTATTTTTAGTAGAGATAGGGTTTCACCATGTTGGCCAGGATGGTCTCTATCTTGATCTCGTGATCCACCCGCCTCAGCCTCTCAAAGTGCTGGGATTACAGGCATTGGCCACCGGGTCCGACCTCTATTTTAATATTTTGGGGAGCCGCCCGACTGTTCCCCAAAGCAGCTGTGCCATGTCACATCCTGCCAGCTGTGCACAAGGGTGCGATTTTCCCACATCCTCTTTCAGTTTCATTGAGTCCGACAGGCCTGTCCGTCAGGCCTCGAGGACCCTTGCTGTGCCCGACACTGCCCTAGACACGACAGTACAGCAGAGAAAGTGGCACTTACCAGCACGACTTCATCTAGGAAGAGAAATGAAGCAGGGAAGTGGGACAGGACGGGGAGATGGTGGCTGTTTCTTTTTTTTTTTTTTTTTTTTTGAGATGGAGTCTAGCTCTGTCACCCAGGCTGGAGTGCAGTGGTGCAATCTCAGCTCGCCTCAACCTCTGCCTCCTGGGCTCAAGCGATTCTCCTGCCTCAGCCTCCCGAGTAGCTGAGACTACAGGCGCCCGCCACCACGCCCGGCTAATTTTCGTATTTTTAGTAGAGACGGGGTTTCAGCATGTTGGCCAGGCTGGTCTCGAATTCCTGACCTCTGGTGATCTACCCGCCTTGGCTTCCCAAAGTGTGGAATTACAGGCGTGAGCCACAGCCCCTAGCCAATGGTGGCTGCTTCTGGCGGGCTGTTCCTGGTGGGCTGTACAGGAAAAGCCTGAGAAAGTGGTGCGTGAG